ATTTTTTGCTGTTTTTGGCCACATTTTCAGGAAATCCGAACAAAATCATGGCTCCTTCTTTTGTAATTTCGTTAAAACACGACTCTCTGATCGAATCTGAAGAGGCAAACACATGATCACAGAGGATTCTTTCTCCATTGAATAGAGTCTTCACTGCAGTTCTCACTGCATTGAGCCAATGATTGATTCTCAATTCCAGAGCATTCCAATCCATTTTGTGTACCTGCGAAGCACTTAATTTTACCACACCAAGCTTGAAAATACCTTCATCGACTATCGATTTTCGAATAATTGTGTATATTTTCAAACATTCTTTGGCATATCCACAAGAAATCATACAATCGGCAATTAATTTTAAATCTGCCATTGCAATACTTGAGGCGTCTTCTACTTCTGTTATTGACTCGTTCACATTCCTGATATCATCATCATCGTCCTCATCATAAAAATCTGATACGCTCGAATGAATCGAGGTAATCGAGGACCGTGTGGAAACCGATTCAGGATCCAAATGTGCTCGATTCATGGACAATATCTGATAAAACTCCTTCTGGAGTCTTTTCATGGCAATCTGCATCAAATTTTGCGCACGGACTATTTTTTCTGAATTAGAGTTTCCCGTGATGAAAAGTTTCATAGCCTTTTGTAGATTTCTCACCCACTTGATGAAATCTATTGCTTCCTTGCGATTATCGTAAAATAAAGAAGTAACCTTGGCAAAAGTGGATGATTCTGGGTCCCATTTCATGATTATAGGCTCAGCCATTTCCAGAGTTCGATTCATCACTGACTCCGAAAAACTCGGCCTAGCTGGCGAGAATCCAAATCGCGATCGCGATGGCGATGGCGAAGGAGAAGAAGAAGAAGTAGATACTTTCGGTGAAAATAACAAACACCTCATCCCTTTTCTCGGCATTTCTGGTAAAATATGGTGAATTTATGAAGAGTTAAAGGTTGGCTTTTTCTTTGGCTGTGGGGTTTCAATATAGTGAAAGAAATTAATGCAGTTTTCATGAGTGTTATTGGTATATATATAGAGGAAGGTGGAGGGGTAAGGCCGGAGTTGAAATTTAGCTTTAGAGGTTGAGTTGTCGGACTTTTTGAGATAACATAATAGGAACAAGGAATCTACGTATGTGTTGACGTTGCATAGTCATATGTGGAAAATGTTCTACATCATCCTCACGGACCTCACTAGCGAATTTACGAGTATATTCCTTGAAGCTTTCTTGGAAAATTACGTCTTTTTTTTTTAAAATAAATTCTTTAAAATTCTATTTTAATCAATTAATTTTGCACGTATACTTATAACATCTATACTGATGGGAAGATTATAGGAAAGACAAAAATCTCACAAAAAGAATTTCAATCAAGAGAAATTCAACAAAAACTTTATTTTATTCAAAGTTGAGCTGCCTCAAAGGGCTTACAACGTTTAAATAGTGAAACCCTAAGAAAATTCG